AATACAACAACGTGCATAAACACAACAAATTTACTACTTCTAATGCAATGCATCCCAACAGTATGGCCATCTGCTGCATTTTACAATTAGTCTGCCAATCAAGGAGAATCCCAACACGTCTTAGGCTAGCTGACATGAGTGGTCGGTAACACGAGGTTGGAAAAGGGAATTAAATAATAAAAAGGAGGCTAAAAGGGAGAATTCAGATGTCAACGCTATGAGAAAACCATCCCAAATTATTTGAATTGGACCTAAGGTTCCACTATATGGGCCCAAATGACCCAACATTTCCAAAGTCCTTAGTCCAAGTCTACTCCGCCTTCAACTATATTATATTACGATAATCATAAAAATTGCAAACCACCATTCCCATTCCCTCCTAGCCAGCACCAATCCAAGCTCAGATCACCATTTTTGATTTTTCTTCCTCCGCTTAGCCACCTCTCTTTGGCCCTCCTCCTCCCTCCAAGGCTGAGAACCAATGGCCTTCAGCCTCGCCAAATCCCACATCATTTTTCTCACCTTCTTCACTCTAATCCTTCTTGTTCAATCAAAGCTGAGTCTTGACAAATCAGACTATGAAGCAATCTCGATCGTTCAAAAAGACTTGGGCATTCATGGTCAACGCCGTGGCCTAGAGTGTCCCTGCAACTCTGCTGGGATAGTCTGCGAACGGCGAATCTCAAACAGTTCAGTTGTGCTTAAAGTCACACGAATTGTTTTTAAGTCTGAGCAGTTGAGGGGAGTTTTGTCTCCTGCAATTGGTAGACTCTCTGAGCTCAAAGAGCTGTCACTGCCGAACAACAAACTTCTTGATCAAATCCCACCTCAGATTGTCAACTGTCAAAAGCTTCAAGTTCTAGACCTGCGAAACAATCGACTTTCGGGCAAAGTTCCGTCGGAGTTATCGTCCTTGATTGATCTTCGGGTTCTTGATCTCTCTTCTAATCAGCTTTCAGGAAACTTGAGATTCTTGAAACATTTTCCTAACTTGGAAAAGCTTTCTCTGGCAGATAATTTGTTTGCTGGGAAAATCCCTCCCTCTTTGAGATCTTTTCGGAATCTTCGGTTCTTCAATATTTCTGGAAACAATTTACTGGAAGGTCCTATCCCCGTCCCGAATCAAAATGGAGATGATTCCTTATCAGAGTCCACAGAAGTTAATATTGTCCCAAGACGATATATTTTTGCTGAAAATTCATCAAGGAGTAACAAGACCTCAGCAATAGAACCTGCAATGGCACCTGGGGTGGGCTCAAATCAAAACTCAACTCAAGCTCCATCACCATCCACAGCCACGGTGGTGCACAAAAATCATAAGAAGACTAAAAAGAAGATTGGAGCTTGGATTGTTGGGTTTTTTGCTGGAACTGTTGCAGGAAGTATATCAGGGTTCGTGGCATCTGTGGTTTTTAAGATGTTGAAGTTCTGGATTCAAGGAGGGGATACGGACACAAGTCTCGCAATTTTCAGTCCAATGATTAAGAAAGCTGAGGACTTGGCTTTCTTGCAAAACGAAGAAGGAATTGCAAGACTTGAAGTCATTGGTAGAGGAGGATGTGGAGAAGTATACAAAGCTGAGTTACCTGGAAGCAATGGTAAGGTGATTGCCATTAAGAAGATAATTCAACCCCCCAGAGATGCTGCGGAGCTCGCCGAAGAGGAAAGCAAGGCCTTGCATAAGAAAATGCGCCAGATCAAATCAGAAATTCAGACTGTGGGTCAAATCAGGCACAGGAATCTACTTCCTCTTTTAGCCCATATGCCGCGGCCTGACTGCCATTACCTTGTGTATGAATTCATGAAAAATGGAAGCTTACAGGATATGCTGCAAAAAGTTGCAGCTGGGGAGAATGAACTAGATTGGCTGTCCAGGCACAGAATTGCTTTAGGGATTGCAGCCGGGCTTGAATATCTCCATGTGAATCATAACCCACGTATAATTCATAGGGATCTCAAGCCTGCAAACGTTCTTCTTGATGATGACATGGAAGCTCGAATTGCTGATTTCGGGCTGGCAAAAGCAATGCCAGAAGCTTACACACATGTTACATCTTCAAATGTGGTGGGGACCTTGGGATATATTGCACCAGAGTATCATCAAACACTCAAGTTCACAGACAAGTGTGACATCTACAGCTTTGGTGTCCTGCTGGCTTCTTTGGTGATGGGAAAACTCCCATCAGATGAATTTTTCCAGGAGACAGATGAAATGAATCTAGTGCTTTGGATGAGGAATGTCATGACCTCAGAGGATCCAAAGAGGGCAATCGATCCTAAGCTCTTGGGCAATGGATACGAGGAGCAGATGCTCTTAGTCCTCAAGATTGCTTGCTTTTGCACATTGGAAAATCCCAAAGAGAGGCCTAATAGCATAGATATTAGAGCTATGTTATTTCAAATAAAGTATGAGAAACGTTAAGTCATGTAATTATGAATCTATGAGTTGCGCTGTCCAAAGTGCAACACATTTTGATATTGATAATAGGATATTTTGTGTGCAAGTGTATCAAGTTATTTGTGATGAAAGATTACCAACTTGATTTTTTCTACTTTTTACTTTTCAGTTTAATAATCAACGGGTTAATTCCACTTTGCAGCCTTCAATCGTACTTGAATCAACACTTTAGTCTCTAAAATATGAAATCTATCACACCTTAACCCCTAAATGATGAGTTTATTCCACTTTAGTCACCAAAGTGTAGAATTTATCCCATTTAAGTATCAAGTCTATTTCATTTACATCAACGATTTTACTTTAAGTATGACTAATTTTATATTTTGAGCATTAAATTGGCTCATGTCAAGATTTAAGTGTGAATAGACCAAAACCAAGGGCTCAATTGAAAGGACAACATACACTACGCTGGGACACAAAAAACCATGCAACTTTGAGACACTTGTTGGACATAATTAGCCTGATCACATTCAAACTTAGAGCAAGTAATCAGCAAATTCTATTGGAGCATTCAGAACAGGAAGTACAGCTCAAATCAATCATGTATTATTGACGTGAAAATATAATCCCTTACAATTAATATAAGTGATTTTAGCCTCTAACAAATAAAAAAAATTATTCATTCTGGACGATTCCTCGCATTTTTATCTCTCCCTCTCTCTCTCTCTCTCTCGTCTTCCCCTTCCTTCTCCCTCTTATGCACACCCTTTTAATTCCACCACCATCCCTCTTATTTGGGGTTCATGAAAATCATGATCGAGGTCAATGGTGGCCTCTTCAGGATGAAGCTGAGTAACTTGCTAGTATGTCTGGTGGAGTTTTTGAGCAGTTAGGATAGGACAACGAGGAAGGCTGCTGCTCAAGCTTGCCTTGGCAAAAGAAGGGGCCTTACCCGAGTTTAAAGCTGCATCTGCATCTTTGAAGACCTTTGAGGCTGAAAGATTTGACAGAGATTCTGGAACTGGGTTTCAGATTACTTTCTAATTTGACTGCTAGCTAGTAGTATAGCAGTACTAGTACCGGTTAGTTGATTTCATGTGGCAGGAAGGAGTAAGAGGTGGTCAGCAGTGGTGGTGGGTGAGAATGGTGGAAGGGGGTGGTGGTGGAACAAAAAGGGTTATTATAATTTTATCTCCTAAACTATATCACTACTATCAATTTACCCTAACGTTATTCTTTAATCACTTCATCCTCGCAGGTATTTCAACTCAATATGTTAACAAATTTTGGATAAAAATACGTTTTTGTTTTATAACATTACTACATTGTTATTATCACTTTATCATTTTAAATTATAGTGATACAATCGTTTTACTCTCTAACATTATCCTATCATTAATTTAACCAGTATGTTCAAAAAAATTTTAATGTATTTACCTTTTATATATATATAATTAAAAATAAAAAAGTCAGAATAGTTATTCTTTCTTTTGTTTTTTTTCTCTTCGAGAGTTTCAAAAACATAAAAATAAAAGGGTTTTCTCAAACTTTTTTTTCCATACTTATCAATACTAGGGAAAGAAAAAGAGGTGGGACAGAAAGAGACAGAAATTAGGTTTTGCAAAGAAAAAAATATAAGGACGAATCTAATATTATTGTATTATTTTAACATTGTCAGAATTAGGATTGAAATTTGTCGGTAACAAGAAAAGTAAAGTAATTTTAAAATAATAAACATATTGAATTATTTTTCCTTCGTATTTTTTTTTTTAAAAAAAATTGAGCTCTGTCTTTCTCTATCTTTCTTTTTTTTTTCAATATTAATAAAATTGCCAAGAAAAAAGAAATTAATATTTTGACATTTTTTTTTCTTGATATAGAAAGGAAAATAGCCATTCTAGATTTTTTTATTGTTTTTGTTATATAAAGAGGATGGTACTTTTTGCTGAAATTTTTTAACTTGCTAATTTGGTTTAATAGTGGAATAAATTGTCTAAAATAAACTCTAGAGGGTAAATTGATAATAAGACTATAGTTTATGGGGATAAAGTGATAATAATTTTAAGATCTAAATATATCCTTTCATTTGAATTGACAAACTCCATTAAATTTTATCCTTAGTCTTAAGGATAAAGCGACTAAAAAATAATAGTAAGAGGAAAATTAATAGTCGCATCAAACGTTAACAGAATAAAGTGATAATAACTCGAACGAAAAATAGGTATATGCATTTTTGGGTTTGCAAAATTAGGGTTCAAGTAGCGAAGAACTAGGGGAAATGGTAGAATTAATGAGAAATTTTGAGTAAATATTAAGTAAATTGCGAAATTTACCCTTCAAATATTGATGCAGTGATATATCGATGCCTTATTTCGAGCAAAATTTGACTAAAAACGTAACCAATGATCAAAAGTGAGTGTGTTCTAATTGTCGTGAACTAAAATCATTCGTTTTAATTCTGTGGACTAAAATTTCATACCAATAATACGTGAAAGACTATTGGTGCATTTTTTTCCCCCATAATTCCCTTATGGTTGATATAATTCTCTTATGGTAAACGCAGCGTAGACCCAAGAACGTTGACTAGTAACTTCCACGAAGATACAATGTGGAATGCAGCTTTGGTCAGAAATTTCATACCAATGAAAGGTCAAAAACACATTTTTCGTCTTCTTAATTCCAACTGCTGCCCACCTAAATTTCCTCCAAGCAATAGAGTATGTGAAAGGGAAAGTCCACCAAAGACTGAAGAACAAATTTAAGAGACGAAGTCCACCGACGAGCGAGACATGTATCACTGTTTCTTAACTCGGGCATCTAGGCAGGAATCAAAAGAAACATTGAACTCTTTTTCTTGGAAAGGAGATAAGAAGGGCAAAGTTCTTCTGAAACATTCTCATAATCTGACCTCATGTTTCACGGCCGCACTTTGTGATAATGGAGAATATTGACAGAGGAAATTTCACCACTTTTTCCCAGTAAAAAATCTAAGCAAGGGAAGGAAAAAAAAAAGTCCTGAAACCTTCTTCTTTTCTCCCTTTTTCTTGGCACATTCAGCCATTACTGACCCCAGCTTTGTCCACAAGCCAGCCATAGTAGAATAAGGAAGAAAGACTACTGCAAAAAAATCTGATAAGCCAAGGTGTGCACGTATCCATCCGACTTTTACCAATAGACTAGCAAATCTAACAAGAATTGGTGTCCTTGAACTGAAAAAACATATGGCAACTCCAGCTTTTTCTGGTTTTGTGCGCACTTGCACAAATTTTGTCTGACGTCCTCAGAGGGAGCTCCACACTTGGCACACAAATTGGCCTCTCTCTGCACAAACACTTCAAACACTTGAGACAGTCTTGCCTTCTTATATCTCTAGCTATTATCAATTCATCTACAATATCAGCATTTCAAGCCTTATCTGGAGAACATTGCCTACTGTGATAACTGCAGTGAAAGCATTACCTAACTTCTACCTGTAACAATTAGCCTCCTTTGGGCTTTGTTTCCTGTAGGAGGCAGGAAAAGGCACACTGTACAGTTGTATGGCCAAGCTCCGGACCAACGAGCAAAACTGCTGGTAAGAAATTTTGAACACATAAATACACCTATAGCGGCCTATACATCATATTCTTTTCTTTTGCAATAATGTAAGCAATGAACGAGGTTGGCCATGTCAACTGTACTCGACAGCACATATCAAATGCAAGGAATCATATCAAAGAGAAGGAAAAGAACTCTATTACAACAAAGCACTCAATTCACTAGTAAAGAAATTAAAGTCTAGTTCATATTACTGCTAAAAGTTTCCAATACAGAAGCAAAACTAGTAATATCCTCTAAGCAAAAAAGAATACAGGAAGTGAAATTTCTTCTATTATACAAACCTGCAGTACCTCTTTCCAGACAAAGAGGAAAAAGAATAAATCACAAGCATAGGAGAAAGCACCATAGAACCTCAAGATGTTGAAATCCTAGTAGAAGCAGAAAATGGTCTGTTCATCATTTTACACTAGAAGTTTTCATCTTGATCAAAAAAAAAAATTCTCTCTGTTAAGTAAAAATGGACCGTCATGTCATTCGGTGCGCCACAGAGCTTGAAACATTAAAAATTCATTGAAAGTAGGACAAAAAAAGTAAAAACACAATGGCAATATCATCCAGATGAAGAAATGCAATTCATGTAGTATAACAGTAGCATAAGTTAAACATGTAAGCAAGCTCATAACAGTAGCTTGCTTGAGTTAGTTCCCCCTATTGGTTTGTCAAGTTGCACACTTCAATTGACACGATTCAAAGTGTTTTTGTCCAGGTGGAAAACCAAAAGTGGAAAAACGACCAGTGGTTTATGAGTTAGCTCACTAATAATCTATAACTTACCAAAGCAACCCAGTACTCTTGGTCAAATCCTTAGGTTCAACTTCGCATACATCTGGGGTGAATACATTGTAATGACAATATCTGAGAGAAGTTGATTTTAGCATACAACTTCACATTCTTTAGCTTTACTTCTCAATCCTATTTTGTATCAGTTGATGAATAATTTGTTAAACAACTGCATAAGTGTTTTAAATCTTCATCATCAAAGAAGTATTTCTTACAAGTCAAAATTCTATCAAAACTAAAAGCAGTCTATCGTCTTCCTCTTCTTCTGTTTCGAATAAAAATCCTCCTAAAATTTCTCAGCATCCTTAGAATCTATCTTTTAGCTTTAAACTTTCAGTGGAGGCAACAGCATAATGTTAATGACTCATTGAAACAAATTAATCTCTCAACGCAAAAAAAAGGCTTTGATTCTCCTAAACGTCCCTGGAGTTTAAAATTTCCAAGGGCAATATAAAGTTTGAAACATGGGAATTTGGCATTTTTCAACATGAACTCGTAGAAATCTGCAAGGAAAATAAATAAACCCTCAGAAGTTCCCTTAAAGAACAATACCTCAAGTCTACTAGTACTCATGATGCCCTCACCTCAGAATCAAGTTATCCTTCTGGTAGGAAGACCACTTCAAGTATCAGAAAAACCAAAGTCACAGCTCCAGATAATATAGATCTTCAGCAACATACCCACACTTCTATGTGCATTCTGTTGGAAATGTTGATTAAGTGCCAAAGTTAGAAAAGTGAGAGGTCAACCACTATAACTCAATCTCACAAAAATACAGGACTCATTAGGATAATAAGTATTTAACTGTCAAAAACCGAAGTCTACAGCAACACATGCAGAAAGAGACAGATTATGCATGTCAGATACACAAATCCAACCAAGAATCATGTGCAAACAGAGACGTGCAAAGGAGTAATAAACTTGCATTCATTCCCAAGATGCATAACTAAATAAGATAGAGATTATCAAGAAATTCCATAAAGATAAGTACTAAAATTTTACCCTTTCTGGAAGTTATAATTAATACCAATTCAACGTCCATTTAATACATTTCTCCCACAGGAACATTCCCAATTTCCTTGCTTGCTATTTATGTTGACTTCCTCACCATAAACCAGAACAAGATAACACGCCCATCAAACAGAGTGATATGCCCCCAGGTCTTACATCCATGAGCTACAAAAGTCAGATGGCAATTCAACTTCCACGAAATGCCCTAAAAAAGGAGGATCCTTCGCTAACTAACTAAACTAACCAGGTCTATGAACCTGCAAAGCAAATTGTGGTCTATTTTCTTGTTCCAGACTGAAGAACTAGTAGCACCTGGACTGGACATGGAAACCATTGATAGAAAAGATTCTCTTCAAGTGAACCAGCATATCCTCTAATAAAGCTTACAAGACTTGCCTGATAGGAAGAAGTTCAGCCACTCAGCTGACACAGAAACAATAGATTGGACAGGGTTCCCTGGAACTCGCCAATCATAGAAAAGAGTCTCTTAAAGTGCACCAGCGTATCCTCCGATAAAGCTTACAAGACTTTGGCTGATAGGGAGAAGTTCAGCAACTTAGCGAGTCTTGGACTCTTTAAGGATATCAGGTAGGGCTACAGGGCAGCAAGAGCAGAAGCCATAGGAACAATAAATTGTTTAAAATAGTCTTGGACCCAGGATGCATGTGAATTCCGTATCACCAGGTGTAGCAGCACAAGGTTTGAAGAAACAGAAAAAGGAGGTTTGTTGGAAGGTACATGATCCTTCAACTCTGGGTGCAGCCCAGACAGCTGCTGTCTACAGGGGATGGTCTGAGTTTTTTTTATGAACTTAACCACAAAATTGCAGCAAAATCCTAGTGGAACTGGTGGTTTCTGTGATGAGATTTCTCCCTCTATCATATATGCGTAAAATCCATCTATTGGAAGTTTGATGATCAAATTGACCTAAAATCCCCAGGCACCTATCACACAGGAACAATAAATGACTTACAAGAAATGAAGCAACAGGGAAGCAGAATATGTTTGAAATAAGACATACCAAAAGAACAGGAATCAATCATAGCTCCTCTTATATGAAATAGTCAAGAAACTTCTGTCTGCATTGTTCTGGAATTAGAAGGGTTCTCAATAGCGAAGTTGGGACCAGCATTCATGGGAAGGAGGCTCCCATAAGAACCTTCATCATCTATCCAACAACTATGCCATTTAATTTTATAGTTTCCCGGAGGAAAAGCAGACACATCAAGCAAGCAAGTCGAGAACCCTTGGCCTCTCTCATTAAGACGAAAACACACATAATCCTCTGTCCACCTGCTACCAGCATTAGTTCGATCCTGCATAGCATTAGGCGTAGAAGACCCAGTGGCATACCTCATGAGCTTATGATTCAAAGCTAGAATATCATCAGTGTCCCATTCTTCACTATTCAACCATGATTTCTCTATGTTCTTTCCATGTGGAGATGGAACAGTACAGCTAAGGATGCAATAAAGCTTAGAAAGCTGAAGGTGAAGGGACGGTGGCATGTTTTTCAATTTAAGGCACAAATTCAGAGATAGATGGCTGCCTAATGAGACAGACATCCCATCAAAATTTTCACCATTTTCATTCATGGAAAATAGCTCTGAAAAAACATTATCCCTGAAAATAATCCAGCTTCAAAGATCAGGTTACTGGAAAAAGTGGACAATGAAACAACACAGAGCAATAAGGACAACTGAAAAGGGACCAAAAATTTATATGAATTTCAGGATTTGCATCAGCAAAAGCCACAGAAGCAAAGAACTAGGCCCGGCAGTATCTGCTTCTGCTCAAGTGGATTATGGACATGCTCAATTTCCAGTCATTGCTAATAAATTTTTATTCTACACTAAAATCCTTTAATTTGTCTTGATGAAAATGTTTCATACCCAATAAACTACTTTTTCAACAATTTCTGGGAAAGGTCGTTTTTAGAAAAATCTAAGATGGCAAGTGGATCTATCAAAGTATGTGCAAACTTTTGACTACTAGTGATTGTTAATAATGGTCTCCTACCACGCATTAACAATAAAAGATTGAAAAAGAATTGGATTCTTCTTGTCTTAATCTTTTTTCTCATATCTTTATTTTCTTTGCTGGTTTGATTGGATGAAACCATAAACAATGGAGCTTTCCAAGCAACTAGATAAAGGAAAGTTTAGGCCCTCCTACTGCTTAGAGAAAATTATGTTTGCAAGAAATTATAATTGAAATCTCATCACTACATCCATATTGCGATAAAAATGCAGATTAAAAACTCCACAGTCTCTCTATTTGACAGCAGTTTTTATATCAAGAAGAAACACATAATGGATGATCTGATGATCCATTTAAATGCTTATAATGCATACCTTACTTGAAAAAAGTAATCCGGACACCTGAAGGGGATCTGCATCCACTTCCAAATGATGCTCAACAACAACTTTAGTCCATGACTAGAAATCTGAGATTTGGTTTCATCACTGCAAAATATGCGTGCCTCATTTTGGAGGCCAACAATCTCTGAAACAGCATATTTAAAAAGTTTAACAATGCTACTTGCCTCGTAATAAAGGCCTGCAGCTTGATTTCCGGACTTGGACAGAAAACAGCTCTCGGACTTTCCATAAACCTTTAATAGCATCCAAAGATGTTTGCTGGTTTCAGAGTCTACAAGTGATAGCCTCTCAAATAAATCTTGAATAAGCACACCACAATGATGCCCTTCTGAGCCATCTAGACATTTAGTCACGCTATTTTCTGAAACATGTAAGTATGGGATAGATAAGAACAACCCAGTACTGAAGGCCAACAGCGAACAACCTGCTGACAAGCATAAAAGTATCCCCATGCTTTTTCTGTCCATGCCAACAAAAGATGTTGCTAATAAATCAAATTCATCTGCCAACTTCTTGAGCTGGGAAGATACCGAGGCAAGAGAATCCACCAAGAATCTGTATCTTTCCAAAGGTATCATACTTGGAACCAAAACAGTCATCGTTTCTGGCCCACAGCTACTGCTATCTTCTAGAAATGAAACTGCACCTAAGAGCGTGCTTAAGTCCACCAGAATCTCCAAAAATTTTGCTCTAAGAGCCAAAAACCACCTTTGAAAAGTGAAGGAAAGCCCAGGAGCAGACATCTTCAGCGTTTTCTCTGCAAGGTGAACGCCATCATAAGCTCTGACAAGAATTTCAACATAGTTATACAAATTATTTTTCGGAGTAATTTCTTCTCCAGCTTCAGACAAACTATCTTTCACATTAATAATCCCAAAATACTCAATCTGACTTTCAGAATGTGAGAACAAATTCAAGGTTTTCAACCAGACATAGCTGGAATTAGAAACAGCCATTTTTGTCAGTCGCTCAAATATGAAAGCAGCATTTGACCATAGTCCCTGTAAAGCTGCACGCTTTCCAGCTTTGTAAGAAGACCAATTATCTCTTCCTCCAAACATTTTTTTTCCAAATTCAGCAATAAAAGTATTATCGTGAAGAAAAGAACCAGCATAAAATGGAGTATAATTGTCATCAAGGTATACCATGGGGTTAATCTGTCGCCAGATGCACTTACAGGCACTATGAAAGTGCAGCAAAAGCAGGTAAATGGTGTACGTAGATGAACCAATTGGGGTGGACTTGCACACATAATCTATCAAAAGCTTTAAGGAATTCAGGACTTTAGCTGTTTCTGCATGCTCTACTTCAGGGTTTTCCAGACAAGTAACTATTATTCTCGTTAGAGAAAACACAAGTTTTAGTATATTTGCTGTCTTGTATTCTTCACCACATTCTGACAGTTCATAGTTTAAAAAGTTGTCTTTCTCTATGCTTACATCCCTACAAAGCGTGCTCACTAGATGCTCCAAAAATATGCCAACTCTATCTAACACCAAACCACTGATGTCTAAATGGTTTTCAACCAGATAAAAGATAGATCTAAGCAAGCTTGTCACTTCTCGCTCCAACTCTTCATTGGCCTGATCTCCATCCAGGAGCCCTTTCTTAGTTGTTTTGAGACCATTCACCAGAAAAATATGTCTAGTCACGATTGAATTCACTAGCTCAGAAATGCGATCCATAATGAATGAAATTACTTGGTATGCCAGAGTGAAAGCTGTTTCATCATGTTCCAGTTTAGGTCTTCCCAGAAACTTGCACAAAATATTTACTAGAACACGTGCAGCTACAAGTCTCTCTGACATGATTGAAGATTGATTTACATTCTCAATAAACTTCAAGAACGTGGAGAACACCATAAACATCTCTGAGCTAGGTAAGGTTGGTAGGTAATATGAAAGCATCTGAAAAAGTTGTCAGGATGTAAGCAAACCATTACTGTACCTTTCCTGTCAACCCAATCACGAGAAGGGAAAGGGCAGAAGAATTACCTTATGCAAGACTTTCAGAACTTGACGCAGCACAGCTGGTGGAAATTTGGATTGATTCAGCATATCAAAGAAATTCTGAACCATATCTCTAGATGCAGGACAAGGACAAACTCCTCTTGCAAAAAGAAATTGAAGACATGTTAAAGTTGTAACTTCAATATGAGTTGCTCTGTACTTAGCCAGATAAGAGAAAAGCAGTTCTATCTGCAACACAAGAGCCAGAGATATTCATCACAACTATGAAGCCAGTGGAAGAGCAATAGTTGGCAAAAATCAACACACTAGAGGACCTATGATGTCCAATATAGTCATTCCCATTCAAATCAGTGTTTGGCAACAAATTTTTAACTTTTAATACTTATTCCCATACTCAGAAATTATCATCACTCCGGTCTTAAGCTATTCATATCATCAAAGAGATGAGATTTCTATCGTACAAGCAACTCATGTCCTATTTGCAAATTTTGTTCCATCTGCAATTTGTGTAACAAAATAGTACAGATAATACAGTCACCAAGATTTGCGCAAAATAGGTTCTACATGCCAAAAACCAAAACCTGTGCACTTATATGTAGTTTTGACATCTTCAATTTACGAAAATCTGGATAAGCATCATTCTCTTCAGCCTCTGGGTTATCAGCACCAGTCTACACACTTGATAGACTTGCCCCATTTTTATCATATAAATCTTGCTGTCATCTCTAACTATAAATTAACCCAAGCAACAGTTAGGAATTGTACAGTTATCTATTATAATTTTCACCAATTTACTGATGCGAAAGCATTTTACCCTGCTAGTCTACTACGTTTTGCATTGAACAGCATGCCATGCCCCTTGGATCACAAAAAAATGACCTTGATATATTTGACTAGTATGTTAAACTTAATGTGCACTTAATATCATCACCTTGGAGATAATAATTAACTTGAACAACAAAATCACAACCAGCAATCAAGTAACAATTATTTGCAGCTTTGTTCATATCACATCCATTAGCGTTCCTGGACAAAGCTACTATATACAACACTACCTCAAGAACTGACAATTATACGCCAATGTCTAACTTTTCTTCTTCTTTAACTATTATTTTAGCATAGACAGTGTTGTTTACTAAATTGCAACTTTTCAATACGAGTTACACTAGCACAAACAACTGTTCACATGAAAACAGAGCATAGTAGTGACCTGTTGAGGAATCAGTAGAGGCCAACAAGAAGCAAGTTTTGTAAGTGATACCAGCATAACTGCAGAGAAATTTTCTTCTGATGAGTCCAAGAGCAGCTTTAAACCTGTCTGCAATAACCATGTTACTGGTTGGAACAGTTCCATACATCTAAAAAGCATGACAAGGAAAAGACATATACATCTTAGCATTTATGCAACCCCACAATTACCAAAACAATTTCCTACTAAAAAAGCATTAGGTATCCTCATAAGTAACTAGCAATAGACGACCAGACCTCTCATGCACAAGAATATGAAAATCAAGTCGATAGCAATTCCCATCAGAACAGAATTTTCTTAGTGTTTCTGTTTGTCAAAGCATCTGAAACAAACAACAGAGGAAACTAGCCAACTCAGACTATAACTGATGGTCACTAGCTTCCAAATCTTTGACACACAAGTCATGTGTATGTAAGTTGAATACAGAATGATGCCGGGATGGATGCATTTCTTAGCTGACCACATTATGCCAACAATTTAATTCCTTGAAGTCATTGTAGATGGAAAGCAAAGTAAAAAAAATGTGCATTTGTCCACAAAGATATGAGATTTGGCCCTTCACTATTGTTGTAGTATATCAGACTTAATTCAAGCAACAAAAAGAGAATCAAATCATATCAGTATCAATGAAGGGACAAGAAAAGGAAGCAAACTAAAGATATTCCGCATAAATGCTGGCTGACAGACCAACAACTAAATAGGAAAGGCAGACTCATCTTTGGCACATGGTAAAATAAGGTAGTGAAAATAATTAACCTCATATGCTCTGTTAGCAAGTGATAATGAGCAGCACATGTTAGCCAATGCTCGCCCTCCTACTAACTTTAAGGCCATTGATGTTTCACATGATGTCAACCTATTAGTAAGCATCTCCATCAGGACACTAGCAAAGTCATTTGCCAATTCACAGAAACGTCCAGCAGCAAACAAAGCAGCCTTCACCTGTGTAGATTAGGGAGTAGGTAATCTCTTTCGAATTGCAAAATCAAAAACAGAAACTACAGCAAAGTCAAAGAACAACAGAACATAGCAGCTGATATTTGATTGAAAAACTTCTTGGAGACTTAGAAGGTGAGCAACAAAAACCACTCTAGCTAAATTCCAACTAAAAATAACAAAATAGTCACTTTTACCTAGATTATGTAAAACTTCAATTATTCATCCACGTATATTTCCAAGAAAGCATCTGAGAGCTTGAAAAATGCTTAAAATATCACACTTCAAACCCACTCAGGCAACCAAAATCACTACTTCCTATCAAACAAGTAGGGAAAATGGAGTCATTCAAACATAACCAAAAAACTCCCAAGAAAAAAAGCAATTTAAAACCACCAAAGGTGCAGATTACATCCTTCCAAACATAAAAATGGAGACATTGGAGTCATTCAAACACAATAACACAAGATAACAGCTAACCATTAAAACATCACATCATGCATAAACAAGACAAGGAAAAAAAAAACTACTACACAATGCAGCATTGTAGTAAACTAATCACATCAATAAACAACTATCAAAATCCAACAGAAGTTATCCGTCATTACCTCAAGAACATCATCAGAAACAACACTCGAAAGTATAACATATCGAACATCAGCACTATCTTTCGCGAAATCAGCCCAACAACCAAACAAATACAACGCTAAAGCTCTTTCTTCGACATCTCCCTCATCAAACACAACCTTAACTCTCCTTAAAATCTCCAAATAATTCTCCAGCTTCTTTTTCGACAAAATTCCATCTTCCACCTTTCTCCCACTCCTTCTCCTCCTACTTTTCAATTCCTCCCTAAATACCTTCACAATGCACGTTTTAATTCGTTTGTCTCCCACTCTAAACGCATCCGCCAGCCGAAGAAGGATAGCATTCGCGAAGAGCTTATCCTCACCGGGAATTAAATGGAAGATTTTGTACTCTGCAACTGAAATTCTTGATTCTCTATTCCACCACTCAAGCCTTGACCCAATTTCTAATATTGCTTCAATACATTTGCCTGAAATATGATAAGCAAATAATCTTGAAGAAAAATTTGAGAGCTTTGGATAATTAATTCTTAAGTAAAATTAAGATGAAGGAAGAGTTTGGAGTAGATGCTGACCAGGGCTTTTGGAACGGAGGCCTTTCTCAAGATCAATACTCCATTCCATTGCAGAAGCAGCTGGAATTTTCTCCATGTTTGTGTTTTTCTTCTTCTTCTGGGAAATAAAAAGACGGAGATTTTAGACTCGACAGTTGAAGAGGAAAGACCCCTCTAAAGGGAATCCATTTTCCACTGAGAATTCATCCAAATAAGAGGAGATGGTTGGGAAAAACCCGTCTAAACCCAGTGGGGGAACTGAAAGTTATTCTGCCTTTTGTGTTTTCTGATAATTTCAGAATCCTCCCTGAGGTTCTCAACAATTGTAGATGGTACCTTTAAAGCTTAAAAGATTACGCCTACCTCCCATGATTGCATAGAATCAATATCCTAGCAAACAAACTAAGATAACTACCAGCCTTCTTCATCTAAACAGCATATCCTGAAAACCCTTCCCTATAATCTTATCCGTAGAGTTCATGCCACTAGTCCTCTCCCCGAACTCTTTTACACCCAATAAATAGTCAATCAATTCTCATCCTGTCTTTACTCTTAAACATTCATCCAAAAAATTGTTAAGTATATTTAGATAGATAGAGGATTATTTGGAGAAATTTTTTACAATAACAGTGTAGTAATTTTTATGCATAGAGTTCATGCCATTAGTCCTCTCCCCTAACTTTTTCACACCCAATAAATATTCAATCAACTCTCATTCTGTCTTTACTCTTGAGCATTCATCCAAAAAAGTATTGAGTATATTTAGATAGATAGAGGATTACTTGGAGAAACTTTTTACAATAACATTGTAATAATTTTTATGATATAATGTACGTGACATGAAAAGATGGTTGAAAGATTAGAACAAGTGTTTGGAAAATACTTTCATGATGTAATCAAATAATTTTTTAAAATAATATGGTATCCAAACACTCCCATTGTATCTCCTTGACCAATCTTTATGGATCACCTTCACCTAATTACTTCACCTTCTTTCTTAATTCCCTTCTCTTTCATCCCCAATATGGATTACATGTTAGTAGATCAATTACCCAACAAAGTCAATTAAGAATATGGTTCAAAAGGGTGTTTTGTTTTCAAATTTGCTTAATGCTAGGGATGAAAGACATGGGAGAGGAAGAGAAGAAAAAGAGAGTTCTATAAAAAGAAGAATAGAATAAGTGAAGAAAAAAAGAGCTAATTATTTTGTTATCATTGATAGAAATGATTGGAATTACATATTTTGCAAATTAAAAGTTGTTATTGGACTATAACGGACAACTACTGAGATAATGACGAGAAAGTGTGCACTTTGAGAGATTAGCTAAATTTGGTGAAAAAAGATGCTTAATGGAGGCATGGTGGCAAATTACAAAATAGTGATAGTAGTGATAGACTTGGTTATATAAAAAAAATTATCATTTTGAGAAGTTCATGAGAGTAATTCTAGGCATTCATAAGAAATTTTGGCTAAAGTTAGTCATTTCTTGAGGTTTTGCTATTCAACGGTAAAAATGGTGGAGGTAGGTGTAATATTTCAAACCTCGAATGCACTATCTATAAGTATGAGCAACTTCAAGGGAGGTTTCTACAATTATCATTCTTTACTCTTTTTTTTTTTTTTAACTGATTTGGCATTGGTTCTTTGTGTTTCAATTTTAACACATTTGGCCCCTAATCTTTTTTATATGTTCCGATTTAGTCCATCAACCTTGATAAATTCGATCCCTCATCTTTGAACAACTAAGTAATAGTTTAGCATCACTTAACACATGAGTGATAGTAAAATCCCTCGTTTAGCTCATACCTCACACAAAACCATATTAATTTTGATTTATAAGCTACAAACACTTGACAAACTTGTTTTGCTATAATAAGAGAAAAGAAAAGAAGGCTACAATTGTGGAAAAAAGAAGTTCAAATGTATGGAAGAGTTTTGTAGGATTTTAAGGCAAATCCACTAGTATAGTTGTTCTATGAAATTATGACTTTGTTAAGTAGTTTTTTTTTTCTCACGGGACGGCAAGAACTCACGCACACAGTTAGATTAACACTCAGGGAGTCATCAAAGAATGGCCCAAAGAACAATCTAAGGAGGACCCACAAAACAACCCGATTCAGCCAATTGGTGACAGAACGGGTCACCTGTTAAGTAGTTTCTCTAAAGCATTTAGACGCCTTCCATTGGTTTATACAATCTGAGTATATATACCATATACACCAATATGAATTTTGTCTCTTCATTTATAATGTCTATATAATGTCTCTATGTAACTATAATTAGGGGTGACCATCAAACTCAAAGTCACTCATTCAGTTGATTGAATTTGGTAATTTCAATAAATTTCTCTTTTGAAAATCTGACCTAATTCAATTTCATGATTTTATGATTTACTTTTGGCCTTTTCCAATGTGTGAATATTTTTACCTATAAAGTACACTAATTATGCTAAAATTGTAAAAATTATGATGATAACTACGTATGAAGTGTGAATTGATTCTACCAAATTCTATTAGAGTAAATACGTTTTACCTATGCATATTCAAGGGAAGGTTGCATGAAAGTTTCCTCGGCTTAGAGAGGTCTCATAAATTGCTTCTGTAAGAAATTATGAAAGCAATTATAAACACTAGTGACTTTTTTTTTTTAGCCTTAAACAATCGTAAAACTTGTCTGCTTGCTTTAATCAAAATTAACCACTAAATAATTTCAAAGTAGTCTATGTGAAATGCACCAATATTGACGTCCTCCTAATAACTTGGAATCTATTTTCTGTTTGATTAAAAGGCTGTGCTAATGGGTGGCAAGTGGTGCTCAAGGCTTCCCTGTTGCACATTTTCTTTTTTAATGCTCCGTCAGAAACCCTGCAAGTCTTGGTTGATTCAGAACATTGATATTTCTTGTTCAACCTTCCCAACCCCAACCACCATTAATCCTTGGCTTTGGTGTATTCAGGATGACACTAGTTTATTGTTATGATCAACTCTCCAACATTCAGTTTCTTGCTCAACCCCACCTCCCCCTTCCCCCCGAATCTTTGGTTCCATTAATTCCAAACCATATCGTATCAGTTTGATGATGTGAATGATGTGGATATAGACGTGAGAGGTAGATATAAGTTTTATTTTTCCAAGAGGAAAAAAGTAAAAGAATTTCTAAATCATCAGTCTGGTGATCTTCTCATTTGTAAGGATTCAGGGGTTTCTGGCTCCTGGATGATAGGCATGTTGGAGGGGCTCATTGCATTATAGAGGCAGTTTCAGTCTCAAAGTAGTGATGTCCTGCTAATCTCAATTCCCAAATCAGGCACTACTTGGCTCAAGGCTCTCATGTTCGCCTTAATCAACCGAAAAAATTATCCTATCAACCAAAGCCATCCTTTACTCACTTCAAATCCTCATCATGGTTCAAAGTCGTGGTCGCGGTTGCGGTCGCGGCCCGGATCGTTCCACATCGGTTTCGGCATATCGGTCGTAGTTTCGGCAAAACGCAAATTTTTTGAAATATTTAATATTCTAATATGATAAAAAAATAATTAAAAATTAATAAAAATTTGAGTTGACTCAGGATGACTCGTGGCGACTCGGCCGTTTCTATCCTTCTCAGAAACATCTCGGCCGAATTCTCGGCGATTCAATATATTGGAGTCATCTCGTCCCGGTATCGGATTGAGAAGCCCCGTTCCAGTAACGACTCGGCCGAGACCGAGACTCGCGGTCTCGGCCGAGTCTTCGAACCATATTCCTCATACGCGGGTACCCTTCATTGAATATTCAACACATGCTGCTGATGATCAGCTGATTGCAGATCAACATTATACACCTTCCTCAAATAGGCTGCTTTCGACACATTCCCCGCTCGTGTTACTACCCAAGTCAGTGCTGAAATCAGGGTGCAAGATTGTTTATTTGTGCAGAAGCATCAAGGACATGTTTGCTTCGTATTGGAAGTTCACCAGCAAGAGGCGAGGAGCTGAAGATTCACTTGAGGAGGATACGTTCGACAAATTCTGTAGGGGAGTGAGCATCTGTGGACCAGTTTGGGATCATATTTTGGATTACTGGAAAGAAAGCCCACAAGGTAGTATTTGTCAAATATGAAGACGTGAAAGAAGAACCAGCTCTTTATCTGAAGCGCATAGCTGAGTTCATTGGGTGTCCTATCTCTCCCGAGGAAGAGGCATGTGGATTGATTGATGAGATTTTGAGGCTTTGTAGCTTTGATAGTTTGCGCAACAAGACTGGAAAATGGATGATGATTGAAAACCAACACTTTTTCCGGAAAGCTGAGGTTGGAGACTGGAAAAATCATCTCACAAATGAAATGGCACTACAGCTTGATCAGATCACTTCAACCAAGTTTGAAGGATCTGGATTAATTCTTTAGATTAATTTGTTGCCTAATTAATTAATAATGAGTGCACAACAAATCCAACATTTATAAATAAGTAAATATAAGGCAGGACAAAACCAAAACAAACACCTGATTTCTTTTGTGGGTCTCCATGTATCTGGATTAATTGTAGCCCCTTGCTCGATTGTAGAATATTCAAATTTTCTCAAACAATAGATTTAAATGTGTTTGTTTCATTGGAGATGCAGAATTGTGCTTTCAACAATAGTAGGTACTCAAAATGCTTCTTGATATTTCTTTTCCTCAAATGCTTCTTGTAAAAAAATAAAAAAAAAGTCTTGATTGAACTTGGGCAGCTAGAGCATTGTACTTTAATGGTAATCAACCTCCCAAGTGACCAGATGAAGAAAATATCATTACTCCAGACTCTCAGCTCTCAAACTTCCGTTCCTACACATGACACATCACCATTTAAGGGGGGAAAACCTGCTAAGTAGGGGAAACCAAGGGGTGAACCCAAGCTCTAACCGGGAGAGAGCCAAAATGACACTGTAAAAAATGCCCCATAGCCTGTCATTTGGGAATTTATCACCATCATGTCCTGCATGATCTAGCTGCCCAACCAAGCTCATCACTTTGCACTAAAAGGGACATGTCTCATCAACTAGCCAGCGGGAGTACAAGCAAATACTACAGCAGAGAGCAATAGCAAACTTTCACAAGACAGAAAATGGTTAGGACAAAGTCCCTGTATATCTAAAACCAAACTTATACATTAGCACTTCTCATGATATACACGTAGCAAAGAACATCTCTTCCTTTAAAACACCCCCCCCCCCACCCTCCCAAAAAAAATAGATTTCTTCCTTAATCTGCAGTGTCAAATAACTCACGGGACTGCCAAATGCACCCAATCAGTTCTAAGATTACCAATACCCAATAGAAGACCTAGCAATTGCAAGACCACTAACAAAAGAAAATGTGCAACTTCTTTTAGATGATTTAAACAAATGCTTACTTCCATAACGATTACAAATCCCTAGACCATAAAATCTGCTAAAAGTCCAGCAACAACTGTGGAAGTATCCTCTCCAAATGAGTTGCTTCTATTGTACTCGCACCCTCTGCATCAGCAATCATAGCAGCTCGTTGAACAGCCTCTACCTCAGATGGAAAAAAGGGTTATCAAGACAATGCAACATCTCGTAGAACACTTTTTGCATCAAATAGACTACAAGACCATACCTGTGACAAAGAGTCTGAGGAGCTCAGAGCTAAGCTTCAGGGCCTTTGCATTAGCTGCAAACATGAGCATATAGGAGAAAATCATCATCACTCGTTATAATTAACCAGAATGTAACTCATTAGCTCATCCAAAAAGCTTTCAAATAACAAGGAACCTTAATCATCCAGTTTTATATTAGCATTCTTTAAACCACTTCTACAAATTAAATCCTCCATGTTGTAAATAGAATGTATGCCTTTGCAGAAGATCCAACCCTGATTTTTGTCATAGTGCCTAAATTTCCAGAACCTTATAATTATTTCACTTTGTTTAACATGTATTTTTGCACAGAAACATAACACAAAGGTAAAAGCACACTCCAACAGCTTTTGTTCCTTTAATTTCAACTAAAACTTCATTATTTCATACCTCTCCCTATTCTTTCTATCCCCTCGCATCCACCATATCCAAATCTACACAGGCATCCAAAATTGGCTTAGCAGGCCAAAAATTCCCAAATTGCTCCTGTTACATTTCTGCATTGCTTCACATGTGATCCTTCTATCATCCTAGTCCATGTAAACGCCACAATGGACTCGATAAGTGAAGGCATCCTAAACTCCTACATCAAACTTCAAGAATCTAGTTCACTCAAAAGGTTCTTTCAGATATCCAACAATATGCAGTATAAACACTAGATTATCTGCGCAATTTGCACATAAAACTCATACATTTAAGCAAAAAAGTCCAGCAATAGAAGAACTTCAACTTCAGAGATCATACAGAGAATTTACCCAAAGTAGGCCGACTTTTCTTAGGTGTGCCAACTCCAACCTGCAATTATATCACAGTTCCAACAATAGAAATTATAGACTAACTCAAATTCACGAAAATTCTAGAATTTAATCCCAAATGAAGCAAAAATTTTAAAAATAAAAATAAACAACGTTGTAACTAACTCGAATTCGAGAAAATTCCAAAATTTAATCACAATTGAAGCGAAATTTTGACAAACATTAAAAAAAAAAAAAAAAAACTGGTAAATAGGTTGGATGCGTAGTATGACCAAATTGGCACTAAAAACACTAAACAAAAAAGGTGAAAATTGAAAATTTTAATGTAAAAAAGAAAAAAGTACGAATTCGGAAAACCTCGGTATCCGGAGCTTCAGTAACTTCATTTCTCTCGCGCTCTGCATGAATGGGAACAAATAAATAAGCAAATAAAGTTGTTAACCACACAACCAAACAACAAAAAAAGAAAAGAAAAGAACCTGCGGCTCTTCTCCTCCAAATGCGCTTGAATATTTCACCGATTAAATCCTAAATTTCGTTGACACTTATCAATTCAATTGTTCATACACATAGATATATGGACATTGTTCCCCAAAAAAAAAAAGAGCATGGAATTTAGGGAAAGCAAAACAAAAGAAAAAACAGGTACAAAAAATGGAGGGAAACTGGGAAAGGGATTCTTACGCTATCAAAAGAGGTCTCCATCGATTGATTCAGGTCTCGTCAATAAAAAAAGAGGGGTTAATGAGAGAAAAAAAGCTAATTTATTGTATTTTTGTGATTTAAGAATGAGCGAATCTCAGAAGCCAGGAGACCCCTATAGCTCAGTGGTAGAGCGTCAGTCTTGTAAACTGAAGGTCTGTAGTTCGATCCTGCATGGGGGCAACTCTGTTACAAGCAAAGCGTGTATGAGAATTTCTTTTGTTAATATGAATGGAAGAATTATGTTTTTCTTTCTCTCTTTTTTTTGGATGGAAAATTGTTGGCAGTTATTATCTTATTAGAGGTTTTATTAGTCTAGAAATAAGGATGTTGTGTATATTTGTGTGTGTTTATTTTAGGGGGATGATGATACCATTTTTGTGTGTGTTTAATTTGTGTGTATTTGTATTTTTGTGATTTAAGAACGAGTGAATCTCAGAAGCCAGGAGGCCCCTATAGCTCAGTGGTAGAACGTCAGTCTTGTAAACTGAAGGTCTGTAGTTTGATCCTGCATGGGAGCAATTCTGTCACTAGCAAAGCATTTAGGAGAATTTTTTGTTTTTAATATGAATGGAAGAATTATGTTTTTCTTTCTCTCTTTTTTTTGGATGGAAAATTGTTGGCAGTTATTATCTTATTAGAGGTTTTATTAGTCTAGAAACGAGGATGTTGTGTGTATTTTTGTGTGTTTAATTTAATGGGATGATGATACCATTTTTGTGTGTGTTTTATTTGTTTGTATTTGTATTTTTGTGATTTAAGAACAAGCGAATCTCAAAAGCCAGGAGGCCCTATAGCTTAGTGGTAGAACGTCAATCTTGTAAACTGAAGGTCTATAGTTTGATCTTGCATGGGGGCAGCTCTGTCACTACCAAAACATCTAGGAGAATTTTTTTTTTTAATGGAAGAATTATGTTTTTCTTTCTCTCTTTTTTTTGGATGGAAAATTGTTGGCAGTTATTATCTTATTAGAGGTTTTATTAGTCTAGAAATGAGGATGTTGTGTGTATTTGTGTGTGTTTATTTTAAGGGGATGATGATACCATTTTTGTGTGTGTTTTATTTGTGTGTATTTGTATTTTTGTGATTTAAGAACGAGCGAATCTCAGAAGCCAGGAGGCCCCTATAGCTCAGTGGTAGAGCGTCAGTCTTGTAAATTGAAGGTCTGTAGTTCGATCCTGCATGGGGGCAGCTCTGTCACTAGCAAAGCGTGTATGAGAATTTCTTTTTTTAATATGAATGGAAGAATTATGTTTTTCTTTCTCTCTTTTTTTTGGATGGAAAATTGTTGGCAGTTATTATCTTATTAGAGGTTTTATTAGTCTAGAAATAAGGATGTTGTGTATATTTGTGTGTGTTTAATTTAGGGGGATGATGATACCATTTGGTCTTGTACTTAGAGGGTAAAATAGAAATTATAAAAGTGACACAAACAGATTACACTAATACCTTCTCTCTCCCTTTATCTATAGCATAGATTTTAGCAATTATGAATGGAAGAGCGTCAGGAGGCCTCTATAGCTCAATGGTAGAGTATTAGTCTTGTAAACTGAAAGTCTGTAGTTTGATCCAGCATGGGGGCAGCTCTGTCATTAGCAAAACATCTAGGAGAATTTTTTTTTTAAATATTAATGGAAGAATTATGTTTTTCTTTCTCTCTCTTTTTTGGATGGAAAATTGGTGGCAGTTATTATCTTATTAGAGGTTTTATTAGTCTAGAAATGAGGATGCTGTGTGTATTTGCGTGTGTTTAATTTAGGGGGATGATGATACTATTTGGTCTTGTACTTAGAGGGTAAAATAGAAATTATAAAAGTGACACAAACAGATTACATTAATACCTTCTCTCTCCCTTTATCTATAGTATAGATTTTAGCAATTATCTTCAAATAAAATACTATGGGAGATTATTTATTGACTATGTTTGTGGGCAGTGTGTATGATTTTGTCCTTTAATAGAGTTGGAGTATTGATATTTGAAAAAGGACAACATTCGCTAAGTGAGAGTTAAGGTCGTCTTAAACCCAAAACCTCTGACTTATAATCCTCCCACATTTCCACTCAACCTAACCCTTTCCCTAAACAATTTTCTTTCTTTTTTCTTTTTTTAGTAACAATAGTTGATCTAACTTTATAAACAATTAGATTTTAGAAAAATGTTTATTTTAATTTAAGATAGTCCTTTTAAAAGTATGTTTTTCTCACTTTTCCCGTTGGATGTTGATTTGGTTTAATTTGTCCCTTGCGACTACAATCAGCATAATAGGCCTAATTTCTCATTAACTTGCTCATACGAGATGCATACAATATCATATTCGACTGTTTACAGGACTGGATGAGAGAAGCTTCTACATCAGCATCTTACCTATGGAAGAGCCTACTAAGTGCAAGATTCCTATTGATAAATGGAATAAGGAAGCAAGTTGGGGATGGGAGTACTATCAAGGTGTGGCAAGATAGATGGGTACCAGACTCAAGAGATAGCAGAGTGGAACCAGATAGAGCAGCACATGGGGATGTACAATATGTCAAAGAGCTGATTAAACAAGGACAATGGGACAGGGAGCTACTGAATAGAATCTTTAGTAGAGAGATGGCCCAAAAGATTGCAAAAATACCACTCAGCATATACCAAAGAAGGGACAGACTAATCTGGTACCATTCAAAGACTGGAGAGTACACAGTGAGAGCAGGTTATGCACTAGCAAAGGAGATGGAAGCACAGGCAACAAAAACAGTGCAGATCAAGGAACAGACAAGCAGCCATAACAGAAAGGAAAGTTTGTGGAAAAAGGTGTGGGGAACAAATATTAAACACAAATTGTAACATTTTATTTGGGAATGTCTGCAAAACTGTATTCCAGTCAATGACTTGGTACACAGAAGAACATGGAAGGGGAACAACATATGCACAAGCTGTGGGGATGGAATTGAAACTCTAAAGCATCTTTTTTTTTCGAATATGACTATGCAAAGAAGATTTGGAAACTAAAGTTCAATCAGCTGGGATGGGTTAATAGACCTTACAAGCTAGTTTCTGGAGATGGTGGGAAGGACTCTTAGAAGCAACTCAAAGAGTTAATGGTCAGGAGCACATAGAACTAACAATCAATATCCTCTGGCAAATCTGGAAAGCAAGGAATAAGATCAATTTCAACAATGCAAAAATGGAGGAAATCACAGTTGTAAGAAAAGCTCAGCAAGAATGGATGGAATCCAAGGAAGCTGTGGAACTAGAAAGCAGAACTGGCATTGCTGAAACAACCCCCATTCAACATGGTAGAAGCTGGAAGCCTCCAATAGAAGGTGTACAAGATAAACACAGACGTTGCAATCTTAGCACAAATGATCAGAACTGGTAAAGGAATTGTTGCTAGGAACTGGAAAGGAGAGAGTCTGAAAGCTTGGGCCATAACGGAGGAAAAGATAGGTGAACCAGGGCTAGATGAGGTTGTGGCAATCAGAACTGCTATGCAATTAGGAAAAGAAGCGGGCTGGAGGAAGATTGAAATAAATCGGACTGCAAAAGTAAGATAGACTGCATCCTAACAGTCTCATGCAACAACTGCAGCTATGCTGTGATATTGGAGGATATACAAAAGCTGAGGGAGTTTTTTGATCAATGCAATTTCTCCTTTATATGTAGGGAAGGAAATGGAGTGTGTCATAGGCTAGCAAAATTTGCTTTGAAGCTAGTCAATGATGTATATTGGAAAACAAAATTCCCAGGCTGGATAAAAGAGCTAGCACGAAAGGATTGTGAGGGCAGCTTGCCCCTTTTGTAAAGCATACTTGTATTATCAAGTTTAAATCAATACAAATGTTATCGTTTTGACAAAAAAAAGACCTTTAATAGAATAAAAAAGAAGAAAAGTAAGCCAAAAAAAAAAAAATAGAAGACTAAATATAAACCAAATTCGAACTACGAGTTTCATTCTTTCAAACAATTATATATACTAAAGATTCTGCCTACAAGTGGGAGAGATAAGAGGACCATTGCGTATATACTAAAGATTCTGCCACTTGTGATCTATGTACTCGATTGGAAACAATCGAATATCACATAGGGGTCATTGATCTAATTCAACATTGAAGGGAGCAAAGTGAGGTAATTTTGGAGAGGGAATTCTAGACAAAAGGGGAATAAAAACAAATGTGTCTGGCTAGGATATTATTTGACATATTACCGTAACACTTTTTTAGTGTGATATATGTAAAATAATGTGTTTGTAATGCAATCAAATAAATTTTTGCTAATAATAAGCTACCCGAACATACTTTTATGATTGATTGAGTCATATGTTAAAAAACTCTACAACTAACAAAATGAAAAATATGGCACTCCTATTATAATATTCATAAATCGTGTATTTTTTTTCAAAGAAAAAAAAAAAGAGTTGGCATTTGACTAATACTTAATCATATCGGACGGTCTCATGGAACACAATTTGTATCATCGCATATGATAAGAGAAGCTGTTGATTATGTTCACATTTTTTGGCTAACTCTTTCTTAATGAAATGAGCATGACTTCAAAATCGACTTGATTTGCTAACTTTATTAAGTTTAAAAGTCAAGAAATGAGATAGGTTTTGACAAAGTTTCTCCTTCCTCTTAAATCAAAATAAGAAAAAGAAATGGTGAAAAGCCCTAGCGAAGAACAAATTAATTGCGGGAATAAATGATAACAATTCTCATTACATACACAAGAAGGATCACGTGATTGCTTTGAAGTTCTCAAAATTGAATATTTATCATCAATCATCGACTTATTGTAATTTTGCATCGTTTATCTTCTATATAGGTGTGCTTGATTGGATCTACACACATTAAAATTAATTAATTATTGTAATTTATTCTTTCACTGATGTTTAAACCAAAAAACAATCAACACTTGATGCTGCCTGCACAGCTAGACTTAAAATAATACTGATCTTATTCAACAGTCACGTATTCTATTCTAAGCATAAACATCCGTTAATTGTAGATTTCAGAATTGTTTCCTGTAATTAACGTTTAATTACCACTACTTCATGGTTAAATATAATGATCAGAACTCGAAATCCATTAATCTCAAAACTGG